GACCCCCCTCCCCCAAGGTGGATTTGGTACGACCCCCTTCTCGACCCTCGACCACCATATTCCTCTCTATAGTATTTAATTCTGGTATCACTCAACCCGAAAACTCCGCCCACTTTTTCCTCCAAAAATGCCGTCGAGGGTATATAGTCACTCTGAAACCGTAAAAATTACCTATAATTTCCTAAATTATTTCCCCTAAATTTTCCAACCAATTTACCCCTACTTATACCTAATAATCTCACTGTACTTCCTTTTCTAGGGGGGGTATATACGCCGGCTGAAACGGCAAATTTTTATCCTTGCGCGCCCTCCACTCGCACCAGCCTACTACCCACGAAATCTTAGTTTCTCCTCAATCCCACACGTGATTTCGAGCGACTAAAGTGGGTACGACCCCCCCTCCTACAAACTCAACCAGGTACGACCCCCCGTTGTTACTCGTAACAACGTAGGGTTGACCCTGCTGCCCCTACACAGTTGAACAGTCTCGCGCTCCAGTATAGCGGCGCTAACTACCCGCGATCGCGTCGCGCGCTGTGCCTAGAGCGCGCTAGTTGGAAAAATCGTCAAATGTACCCCCTATTCAAAAGGACTATAACTTTCTTCATTGATAACCATTTCAGAAAGTGAAGGCAGCTTTTGAATGCACGAGACTTCTAGTTTCTAAAGTTGTGCTGAGCGTTTTTCTAAGCACGCCTATTCTCGAGAGTGGAAAACGTCGAGAAATTGTCGAGGAAATTGAAATTCACATGCGAGTTCCCACTCTTTGGAAGGCAGTAGCTGTCTTCATTGGCAATGCTTTGAAAATCGGAGGAAAGCGTTGTAAAGTAGAAGATTTACGCTTTCTGATAGGTGCTCCAGTTGTTTCGATCGCTTTCTAGTTCGCGAGAAATCTGCGTCGAGGAAATGTCAAGGAAATTTTCGAAGCCACTCGAAAACTCTATTACTCCCTTGCCGTAGTAGGGAACTTCTTTGAACACCTTCAAAATACTTCTGTACGCGTCAGTTCGATGGAGTAAATTGAAAATGATGCACTTGGCGCGGATCCATTCCGTTCTTGTATGCGCCATGCAGTGACCCCACTCGGAGTCATTGGGAAGGTGTTTTGTCCTAGTGACGACTTGCTTAAGCACACCAAAAGATATTTCCAGTATTAACTAATTAGAATAACTTTGTGGTCATAGTGATGTCTGATCATTCCTTTATTCAAATCGCTTCCTTTCCAACCCGTTCTGATGAATGACACGCTTGCGGTTGCAGGATCTGATGATGCCAAGAAGGCTGCGAATCTGCCTGTTTTGAACTTTCTAACAAGATGCTGTTCCTCCACTAAGTTCTCGAAGCATGTACATCATTCTAGAGTAGATACTCGCTGCCCTTTCCCTACGATTCTTTTGCAGGACGCGTTGCCTTCCTATGCCATACTGATCACTACGAACCAAACCAACAACCACTTTCCATTTAAATTTTAATTCCAGACAGTTGTAAGATATTATTAGGTCGGTCCATAATTTTTGAGAACCTTTGGTGTTTTTCGACTTAATTACTTATCTTATTTCTCTGATGTATTTATTCAGCATAGTATACATCACCATTATTACCAACATATAACCAATGCGAGGGTGGGTATTCAGTGTCCTCTCTTGTAGAATTTCATAGAGTTCTGATCGAAGAAATATTGGATGTCGATTTTGACTTTATGGTGATTCAAGTGAGATTTCTTCTCCAGAAGGTGATTGAGAGAGGAGAGCGGATAGTCGTTCGTTGACGCAGGATTAGTGCTACAAGGCGGAGCTAAAAGAACTGACCGCCCGAGAGTCTCCAATTTTTTAGGAATTTTCTTAGCAAGGCGGGCTCGAACGACCTCAGAGAAAAATAGATTTTGTCTTCCTTTGCTTTCAAGTTGAAGGCGTTGCCATCAAGCTGTCAACGATTCTTCCCATCACTGACACTGGTATTAGTTGATGCCGGTCTTCAGCGCAAAGGCCCTCCCGTATTGCGCCAACGACTCAGGAAGTTCGAATTCAGAGGGAGTTGGGTTTTTACTGTCAGAACTCCCGAATCGTTTAAGCAAATCTACTGCGGCTCGTGGATTTGTTAGCACACTGCACCCAGTCCACATCACCAATGAGTATTATAGATGGTCATCCGAAGGAACTATGGGAAACCAACAGGAACTTGATGATGTCAGATTGGGTTGAGAACTGATTCGGGACTACAATTTTCCTTCGATCAGAACTCTATGAAAGTCCACAAGAGAGGCACTGAATACCCACCCTCGCATTGGTGATATGTTGTTAATAATAATGATGTATACTATGCTGGATAAGTAGATCAGAGAAATAAGATAAGTAATAAATCGAAAAACACCAAAGGTTCTCAAAAATTGTGGACCGACCTAATATTTGCTTTAGGCTAACTACAACTTGTGAAAGTAATGATGACAGCAAATAAGTGGCAGCAGCACCGTTGTGTCCGTTGATGACCCTTTTGATTACGACCCCCTCCCAACTCTCATCGGAGCAAATACGACCCCCTGTCGAGGATTTCCTCGACCGTTATTCACCCTGCCCTCGCCATCGTGGTCACCGCCTTCCAAATCTCGATACAGATTGTTATCCAGAAATATAAGACAAGGGAGCTGTTTTCGGCTGGGCCAGCCACGTCCCGGAGTGACCAGAGATGTGAGGAATGATCCCACTGATACTTCAGAAAAGCTGATCGCGGGCGGCTTCGGGAACTAGTGTCTGTTTTTTCACTTCAAATCGATTTAGTCACTTTTGGTGAATTAAAACGGAGCCAGTCCTTACTGTAACTTCAAATTGAGAGGCATCGCTCCATTTTTTAAAGAGATCAACATTCCGTGGATCGCTGTGGCCTGGGTAGGTGAGTAGGCGCCTAAGGACATGCTCGCGATGAGACAACCTGTTTCTTTCGACCGGTCGTAGTACGATTCATAGGTTGCTGGCGAGAGGTTCCTGTTTCCAAATTCGGTCAGTTCAGTAAATGACGATTGAACAAAACAAAAGCGCATATTTTCGAATAGCCTGCCTCTCGCCAAACCCAACCTGAATTTTTCAACCTAGATTTCAGAAAAAAAACCAGAAACCTTCCATTTCACTCGTGACGTAGCCGCCAAAGATACAAAAAATAGCTGCCCAACAAGCATCAGGTGACCGGTCTCTACGAGGCCAACAACGAGGTTTTTTCTAAGCCCTAGTGATTGTTATCTTAAGGTGATGTCTGATCAGTTACGTGTTTGGGAACGGCTTCGCCCACTCTTATCGCCTAACTAGCCACTCATACTCGCGTGGACCCATGCGGCAACTCGTTTGCTGTCTTGTTCTGGTACTGTATTCAGTTTGATGCGCGTACTCGGAATATGCGGTACGTTTTACTGCTACGTGCACTATTGGGCCATCTCATACGCTGTGAGATGCTATGTTGTCAGCTTTTTGTACATGTTTATTCAAATATTCTGTTGATCTGAAATGTACTTGCCTTCATTATTTCCAACAAATCGCCTTTAATAACTTTTCACTGTACAATTTGAATACCACGGCTCTGAAAGGATCTACCGTTCTAGTAAAAATAACTTTCGGGTCTCATCCACGAAATTGATGTCTAAGGGCGAAACGGAAGTCGAACTAATTCTTTGATTATTCCCCCTAAAAATTTCTAATTTCTATGTTTTTACTCAAACCTAACTATTTTATTTATCTGCTACGGATCGACGCGTGGGTCGCGATTAGATCTACAGAGAAGTTCACTCTCTCTAAGTCGGCTAGCAGAACTCTCACCCAGTGGTGGAGCTACCGTAGTGAATTAAAAATACACCCCTGCTTGACCGCTGCAATCGCTGCCATTCTCACCACCGCAGCATATGTGACGTTTGCGCCGTCTCGTATACAAAGTGCTCTCTCTCATTTTCAAATTCCTGTGTCTCTCAATCGTAACACTTATAAGAAAAATTCAACGTTTTATATGATGCTTTTTGCCTTTCCCCCTTACGTTCCGCTCCGTATTTCTTGTCTGGTTTCCAAACAAGGTGACACACCAAACCGATCGCGACCTGTGCCTTCAAAGGACTCTTCAGATCAGCCTGCAGTGCAAAGATTGGGGCAAGTCAAAATAAATTTGTGTGGTCTTGAAAAGCTAGATTTGAAGTTCACCTGTCTCTTGTCAACCGTTCAAAACTTCTGTGACCCATTCGAACGCAATGAATATCACCACGGTCACCCGAGCTTTGTGAAGCCGTGCGTTACTCTAATAGAAGCGGCTTCACCTTTTCGGATGATCCGGCTCTCTTGCTTCCTCAGTACCTCGGCTATACAGAGTTTCGCAATCACTACACTTGAATTTTATACCATCAACGCTCCCAGAATACCATCAAATTCAACAAGCCTTCCAGGAAAAGGCTCATCTCTAGCTACAGTCGTCAAGGCGGAGTTTGTGGAACCATAGCTTGCATTTACAAACATTTATGAAGCCTCTTCAATATCGATGTCGATGTTCCTAACTGATCCGCGGCGATGCTCCCTTTTCTGAACTCGAGGAGCCTAATAAGCCTAAAATGCTCTTTCGTCACTTCCACATTGACCACTTGGATGCTATAAAATAGAAGGTTATGAAAGTTATGCGAGGTTTAAAGTTTAA